TTTCCTTCTAGTTGTAGAATTTCCACTCAGCCAGCCTTTCTGTGGTTCTGGATGATGTCCGTTCCGTCTTTTAGTTGTATTTTTGAAGTGGTTGTTCGAGGCAGCAAACTCCAGTGTTTACCTATGCCGCCATCTTGGTTCTCTCAGGGCACTTATTATGAAGGGAGACCATTCCTTACCATTCCTTAGATGTCTTTCCATCAACTTAGCAACTGATCAGAAGAAGGGAAGAAAAACCCCATGCACAATGGACACAAGCTTGGAGCTCCAAGGGAGGACCCAGAATACCCAGCTGCTGTGAAAACTCACCCAGTTCTCTCCTGAGTGGACAATGAGTAACATAGGGTGCAAAAGGGAACAGGACAGGGCAAAAACCAAGGGAGGGAGGCAGCTGCAAGGATCCTGTATCCTCCTCCCCAAAAAACTGGACCCCAGCCTAGCGGGCAGGAGAGCCATGCTCTCAGTGCCGGCGCATGGCCCTCCCACTACACAGAGTGTGCTCAGCTGTCTGAGTGCTGTCATTACCAGGAACTCAGGAGGACAGGACTGTCCCACTTATCTCTGTGGTACCTTGGCAGGGCCTGACACACATTGTAGGTGCAAAATAAATGATTTTGAGCAAACAAAAGGTAAAGGTATGTGATTTCTTAAACCTCAAAGCATTTTGACCAAAGTAACCTGTCTCCCCAGTATTCAGGCATTAGGTAAGAAGGTAGATGGTAAAACCTACGCAAGTGAAGCATGTTGGCTGCAAGAGTCCAACCCAAGGACACCACTCCCTGCTGCAGGGACCTACACCTTTCCTGCTCACCCAGTGAGGAGCAGCTCACCAACTCCCAATATAGCCCATTCCTCTGTTTAATGGTTCTGACTGTGAGAACCTTCTCCTGCCCACTGAGTCAAAATGGGATGCCTAAAGCAAAGCCAGCCCAAACTCCCCCCTTCTGGTGGCAGAGCCAAGCATGCTGACTCTGCAATCTACTTAATTGGGAGAAGAATGGATTTCCCTATTATCGCAGCAGACTGTCAAAGCATGACCAGAAATTCAATACAAAAGCTTTCTTGGCACATGTCCATTCAAGCATCACTAAAGTGTACTGACCTACCCAGGTCATCTCTGAGCACCACTTTTCTCACTGTAAAATAGGAATAAAAATACCAATGCACAGGGTTGTTGGTAAGATCAAATGGTGAAAGGGCCCCAGCGAGGTGCCTAGGCAGCGCTGGACAGCCCCCGCGAGCAAGTACTATTCATGAAGACCTTCTGAGAACAAGACTGAGGCTGGGGGAGGCCTGCTGGGGTCTCTTAACATGAAAAATGGCAATAGGAAATTTGTTTTCATATAGTTCTGATTTGCTGCCCCACCCAGCCTCTCCTGCATGCCCACCACATTCAAGTGGGAGGACAGAGGAATGTGTGGCACATCTCAGACTGATGCATGCAGCAGGAATATGTGGGGCTGGTAAGGTAGGGGACGGGGGGTATCAAAAAAACTTCTGCCTAAAGTTTTGCTTTTTCCATTCCAAAAGTAGCTATTAGCACATACTATGTGGGACAGACTAAGCCCATGACCTTGCAGCCTCACAGCCAAGTGTTAATATTGAGGAATAAAACCCAGGGTCCAATCTCCGGAGGCTGTACCTCCCCTGTCCTGGTCTGGGGACCACAGAAAAACATTAAGCAATTCAACTTAACAAATTTCTGATGAATGCCCACTGGGCCCAAAGTCCAGTGTCAAACACAGAGAGGCCAGAAGAATGAGGTCAGCCCTGTTCTGCTCTGCAAGTGCTGGACTGGACAATGCAGAGTGAAAAATGCCCCACACCCAGTAGTGTCAGAAGGGAGGGACAGATTTTTCCTTCGTGGTCAGGGAGATCTCCCTGGGAGAATGTCTAAAAGGGAATGTCCAGAGGGACCAGGGCTTTTGAAAGCAGAAATAGG